ACAGGGTTGGGTCGAAGGCATCGTAAACTTGGGTCTCATGTATATGAATGGTTTGGGTGTCGCTCGTGATTACCGTCGAGCCATCAGATTCTTTACCCTCGCCTTACAGTCCCAGCACTTGTTAGCCATCTATCATTTGGGACAACTGTTTGGCGGCGGCCATGGAGTGGCCATATCGTGTCGGACGGCCGTTTCGCACTTTAAATCAGTGGCCGAAAGGGGTGTCTGGTCTCGAGAATTGACTGAAGCCGACAACCACTACAAGAATAACAAAGTCCTGCAGGCGTTCATGAAATACGCGTTTCTGTCGGATATGGGTTACGAAAGCGCTCAGAGTAACAGTGCTTTCATTTTAGAAAATAAACCCATCGATGGTCTCGATATAGATGGCTATAAACGCCAAAGTCTTGCCGTCAAATACTGGACTCAGTCGGCAGCGCAAGGCCTGTCATTCTCGCGCATCAAAGTCGGTGATTATCATTACTACGGGATGGGAACGCCTGTCAACTATGGTTTGGCCGCTCAGTACTATCGCAAAGCGTCTGAATTGCGGTTTTCATCGCAAGCTCTCTTCAATTTGGGATTTTTACACGAAAAGGGTTTAGGAGTCCATCGGAACACCAAAATGGCTCTCATTTACTACGATATGTCCGCTCAGGTCGACAGCGACGCCAAAGTAGCCGTCTTTCTGGCCAAACATAAACTCAAAGCCACTCAACAGTTGCAGACATTTCTCAGTTTCATTGACTTAAGGAAATATTTTGGAAACAAATGGGATTTGGTTTTGATTTTCGTACTGTTCATTGCAATGACTTTTGCGGTGTATTTCAAATTGAAATGAGTTTTATTTATTTTGTAATAACCGGTAATAAAAAACAGTTGAAAAAGTGTACCAGTACCGTTTTATCATATAACTGTATAAAACATTGGCTTAAAAATAGTGTGACTCACGAATTCATGAATAATTAAAAACATAACTAAAATGATCAATAAATTATGAGATATTTTTA